TGTGTGTGTGTGTGTGTGTGTGTGTGTGTGTGTGTGTGTGTGTGTGTGTCTGTCTTCAGGTTGTGTGTGTGGAGTATCAGTGTTCCTCCAGGTTACAGTGTTCTGTTGGAATTTGATCATTTTGATCTGGAAACTGACTCTTACTGTCGCTACGATCGACTCACAGTTTCAGTCGGGACTCGTAGACCTGTTGGTGAATTTCTCTCTCACACACACACACACACACACACACACACACACACACACATATACACATACACACGCACACACACTGTGAGACTGAGACTCAGAAACATTCATCAGAGGCAGCAGAACCTCTAAAATGTGCCGAGTGCTTTGGTTAAAGGAAAAGTTGAGTCTTATACTTACAGTCTTTCATCAGTAAGTTAAATACAGAGGCTATACGCCTCCACCTCTAACCTTCTCTCCATCTTGTTTGTTTAACCCGGACATGAACAGAGTTAAGAACTGACAGTTAGCACATGTTTCAGTTTTGGTTCCTGTAGGAATGATAGTGACCCTTTGAGACTCCCTGTGGAAGCTGCATACTGTGACTGTGTCAGGCTGTAGTTACGTCACTCACATGAGACTATTATCAATCTTCTCTTCTCAGTGTGGGAAGAAAGCAAATCAAGTTTTTTACCAAAATATTTAAACCCCAAACTGACGAATCTATAGAGCGTCTTCAAGTTCTGCAAGTCAGTCAGTCACTGGACAACAAGCTGCTAACAATGATCCACCTGCTGTAAGGACACACTGACGGGTCACACACACACACTGTATACACACTACACATGTACACACATATACACGTATACACACATTACACGTATACACACATTACACGTATACACACATTACACGTATACACACATTACACGTGTACACACATATACACGTATACACACATTACACGTGTACACACATATACACGTATACACACATTACACGTGTACACACATATACACGTATACACACATATACACGTATACACACATTACACATGTACACACATATACACGTATACACACATTACACGTGTACACACATATACACGTATACACACATATACACACATTACACATGTACATATATATACACGTATACACACATTACACATGTACAGACATATACACGTATACACACATACACACATTACACATGTACATATATATACACGTATACACACATTACACATGTACACACGTATACACACATATACACGTATACACACATTACACATGTACACACATATACACGTATATACACATTACACATGTACATATATATACACGTACACACACACTACACATGTACACACATATACACGTGTACACACACACTACACATGTACACACATATACACGTGTACACACACACTACACATGTACATACATATACACGTATACACACATTACACATGTACGCACATATACACGTTTTCACACATATACACACATTACACATGTACATATATATACACGTATACACACATTACACATGTACACACATATACACGTATACACACATATACACACATTACACATGTACATATATATACACGTATACACACATTACACATGTACATATATATAAATGTATACACACATTACACATGTACATACATGTACATACGTATACACACTACACATGTACATACATATACACATTACACACACTACACTTGTACACACATATTAAACGTGTACATACACATACACAGCACATACTGAACTACCTTCGTCATTGTCTTACAGGGGTCTTCTGTGGGGGGGTCCTTCCTGGCCCCATGCTGCTGAAGAATTCACAGAGTGCAACACTTCATTTCTCCTCTGACGTTAGCCGAGGCGGGAGTGGCTTTGTCATCAGGCATCGTGCCGACCAGGGACGCTCTAGTCCTGGTGGGAAACACACTATACAAAACACACAGACACAGACACACACATCTCTGCAGGTAATACTAAGGTGTACAGGACAGCATGGCCACTTGTACTGAGTGCACACACTGTCCATACAGGTCACACAGTGTTCCCCTCTGCCATTGGCTCTCAGAGTAACCAGATAGTGTGTAGGCACATGTCCCATGACACAATGATGAGCTGCACAAGACACTCACAGACACACTGTGTAGAGCTGCTGCTAATGTGTCTTTTGTTTGTGTGTATGTGTGAGTTTGTGTCCTGAACTGCTCCTGCATGTGTAATAATGCTCGATGTGCGTGTGTGGGTGTGTGTGTGTGTGTGTGTGTTTGTGTTCATCAGGATGCGGAATAGTTGTGCTAGTTGATGATCTGACTTGTCCACAGTCCAAATCACCCACAGTGCTACAGTAATGACTGTGTCCTCCGCTGGTTGTCTATGCTCCACAGGGACACGTTGTTAAGGTGATGCCGGTCAATCAAAGTTAAAAGGCAGTGTTCATCAGAAACTCAAGGCTGATTCTGGTGTTGTGTTCCAGCTGGACTTTGCTGATTTCGACCTGGAGGAGTCCGATGGATGCCTGTATGACTCCCTCACTGTCCTGGGAGATGTGGAGGGAACAGAGGAGATTGGTAGGATGATGAATCTCTGGGTGTCGGTTGAACACTCACTGCTTTGATTATGTCTTCTCTCTCTGTCCTCATCGCATTCTTTTCAGATTCAAACACATTGTAATATTAGCAGCAATGAGAGGTTTATGTTCTCCATGTTTTGTAGTGGTGCTGTGTGGTGGCAGCGTTCCTCCTCCTGTCCTGTCCTACCACAGCGTCATGGTGCTTCACTTCACCTCAGACGGCAGCATCACACATAGGGGCTTCAGTGCGACGCTGACATTCATCAGCCATGCAGGTATGTCCGTACTCAGTGGATCAGTCTGTGTGGAGATCACCTGTTGACTTACTAAAAGGTCTAAACTCTGCCTCACAGGCTTTTACCACTCTGGCAAGAATACAATGTAACTGTCAAGTCTTGAGTGTATGCTAAAAAACTAAAACTGTGTAAGATAAACAGAAATATAGGAAATCTTGCTGTCTGTCTTCATCTGCAGGGTAATACAGGATTTGTAAGATCAAATAGAAAGCTGTGTGACATTAAGACTCTCTCTGCAGACCTTCAGAACCAGGACACAGGTGTGGAGAGTGGACCAGAGGGTCGGACAGATCACACAGCCCAGCGGCACATAACAACACATGGTTGGTGGTCTGTTCAGTCTTTGAATCCTCTTGGGACTCTTTTGCATTTAGTGTGTTGACTTCAGGTTTGTGGATTTAGAGAGAGGGCAGTGAAGAGAATCCTGTGTCCCAGCGAAATGTAATGTAGTGAAGAAAGAGAACGAGTACCTCTCCTCACCTTGGGCAAGGCACCGACCACTCAGCTGCTGCAGTGGTGCCGTAGTGGTGAACAGCTCCCAATGGCAAGCATGGGGTTCATCCAACTCTGAGTAAATGAAGGACATGTTCCTGCTTGTCTCCGGCTCCCTACATGCACGTAACAGCACAACAATGATGAGGTGAAATGTGGAGCAAGAAATGATTGTATGGGCTACCTTGTAGTCTTCTGGTCTCTGTGTCGCTGTGTCATGGGCTCATCAAAGCAGCAAGAGTCTCTGGCATGTAGAATGGCAATGAGACATGTAACGCCAGAGTTACAGCTGAGGAAGTAGAAGAATGACTCTCAGTTTAACCAGCAGTGTGAAGGTGAGATGAGTCAATGCTTTTGTTTTAATCTTATTGTTGTTCTTTTCTCTCCTCTATCTTTATCTCGCAATTTTCTGAGAAATATGTCCTACGAACTAAATACTGAGGTGCAAGCTGTTCACAAAATGCTAGAGAAGTATACAAGAATCTCACATTGTCACTGACTAACACATTGTAGATTTGACAGCTCACTTTTCTTTCCAACTACTTTAAAAGAGAATTAAAGCACCAGCAGTAGAATGACCGACAGTATGCCACTGTTGTTTAGGCGTATATCAATGCCTGGAGTGCTACGTCACTATGAAATCACTTGTCATTTCAAAAGTATTGTATCCCAACAGGAAACTGGAGGAGAGAAAATAGATACCTTGCTTTATTTAGGACGCTGTGTTGCGCTACTTGGAAAAAAATACATTTACAGCATCACTAGTTGTGAAAAAAAACAATTTGCATATACTGGTGTGTCTGTCTTCCACTTTGAAAAGGCCTTAGTAGTGGCGTACGCCTCCAGGCATCGGTATGTACTGCTGAACACAGTGACATACCGTCTGCAACTTTTCAATCTCGGTGCTGCTGCAGCATTAAGTCGAGACGTGTGGTTCAGTGTTTAAAGGAACAGTTGAGCGGTGTGGGCGATACAGAGAGAAGATTGATTCCTCTCATCACTAAACTCTCAGCAAGAAAGTGTGAAAACTATTTCCTTAAGATCCACTGATGAAACGGAACTTTTTATGTTTAGTTGATATTATAACATTAGTACAAGTAAGTGTAACAAATGTACTTATTGGTAGTTTTGACAATAGAAGTGCTAAGTGTGGGTTTAATGTTCCACAAATACTAATTCATTTCCAGCAATAGAACCTCTGAATATTCCTTCATCTCCAGAAATGTAAAATGTTCACATTTAAAGGTAGTGGCACTAAACTCACTGTGCACATACGCAGAACACATAAGCTAATGGTCAGCACAGAGTTTTCCCGGTTCACTTCCTGTACTGTGAGTTCTGTGTGTGTGTGTGTGTGTGTGTGTGTGTGTGTATTTCCCCTCTTAACTGGTCCTGTTTGAAGATTATCATGTAAACGACGAAGAGGAAGAGTTTGACCCGGGATGTTTTTTGCAGTTTTATTTTTGTATGATTTTTGTTTGAGTCCCTCTTTGAATTAGGACTCAAAGTGGTTTATATACCACGTAACCTGCTACTGTTACCCGATAACTCTTCCTGATACTTTCTTCTTCATCAGCCTCCTTCGTGATACTTGCTCTTTTCTGCTGTCTGTTGTCGTGCTGCTTTGTGTGTCTCTGGTGTCTTGTCTCTTGGGGTCACCGTCTCCGTACCTGCCTCCTTTGGGACTGGGATGCTGCTTTGCTGCAGTGTTTTTCATCATGTATTTCTTCTTCCTAAACTGTGTAACCCATCACAGGTTAGGTTGAATAAACGCTGAGTCATATTCTGCCAGTATACTATCAATGACATTTAAATTTAGAAACACCCGACCAAAAACACACGCCATGCTAGATGAATGTAAACATGATGACGCACACATTTTGTTCTACTACAGCATTTGATACATGGATTGTGAGGAAGGGTCTTTTAAAAGACTTATGCAGAACTGCTTTGTGCAACTTTGATCTGCCAGTGAAGCGGCTGCTATTGGGATGTTCAGTTACTTGAAACGTGCATACAAATAATAATCCATGTGTGAGCCAATGAGTTTTCCACCAGTATTTAAAATTCAAGCAACTTGCTAAAAAAGCAGTGAGATTACTATTTAGAGGTAGATATGGATGTTACGCTCATGCTTTCATTTACAAAACCCTTTTTTCCTTTAGCCAACATTCACATGTTCCATTCAAAGCAGCAAGAAGGAGTTAAATGCTAACAGTAAGTTAACTCTTGAAGGTAGGGAGATATGACCAATGTCTGACTATCAACAGACAGCACAGCTGTAATGAGCATAAGCAATGCTTATGTTTGGGTTCGTCCAAATTCATTTAGTAATCTACGAAAAACAAGAGCGAGGGTTATAATACAAACAGGCCACAAACCATAGAAACATAATGGTTGTGTGTTGTACCAGCCTGTCAGAGTGCCAGTGAACGTAACACACACTGGACATCCACCAGTAGAGATCAGTGTCACAAGACACAGCAGCACGGCCAGTGTTATGGCCACAAAGCCTTCCTGTTTGTTTCACTCTCATTCCTCTTTATCAAGATCTTCAGCTCTGGAGAACTGTTGTGGTTTCACTGCCCAGTGGTTCATTCCTGTTACTGTGGTTCCCAAACTTTAAAAAGACTTCTTGTCTCCTTGTGATCTATATTCTCACGAGTGTTTTACTCAAATACCTTTTAGACATATGAAGGATGAAAATGATCGAATAATTAACAAATGTGTTTTTTTTCTGCTTTCCTTATTAATCATCTAACAGATTTGTAATGTTGCCTTAAACACCTTAAACAGGTTGGGAACCACTGCCCTCCAACACGTATGCACTAACGTAATGATGACACAAGGGGTCATCCATGACATGCTTGTGGTCTCTCATGTTGTATTGCACGTGATTGTGCTATTGCAAAATGGGACTACAATCTGAATCCCTGTTGTACACCGACAAATAAAACACCCTGTACCTTGTATTACTCCTGCTAACATCCACAACATCAACCCTATTATGATAGAAACATGAGTTCCACTTGTTACAGGAGGTGACCTTCCATCTTTCAGCAGAAAACTACAGAAAAGGGGAACTGTGCTGTACAGTAGACGGCCATGCATGTCTGTAGGTACGGGGCACCCTCTAGTGGCACTTTGTAGGAATTGAAGGGAAATCGGTGTTGAGTAACGTTACATGAATACACATTAAAAACACAAAAGCTCTTTTATGTGAGAAATGTAGTAAATATAGCAGAAGTATTGTAGATTATGGTGTGTCATCCGTGTACTGTAGTGTTGATGGAATGACATCAGAACTATTCATTCGACTTTCACTAATGTGTGTGTTTATTACGACTGGTCCTTTAGTCTTTGGTGCTCATCTCTGCAGCAGCTCTCAGGATCCGGACTCCAACACACCTTATGGACCCTTTTCACCGCAGACAGCTGGAAAGCGGGTGTTAACACCAGTACAATGTTGACTCAACAGAATGGAGCCCTAGTTAATGTCATCTTTTACTTTTGGGCTTTTCCTGCTTTGAACAGGCTGCTCTGTGACAAGGACCTGAAACCTGCTCACCTAATGGGATGATGTCATTAATCCCACTTCCTATATCTACATGGAGTTCTGCAGGCATCGGAGTAGTGTTCCTGCTGGGTGCTGAGCTGCAGTGGGTCTACTCCGTGGCAGCAGATCAGTGCCTTGCTCAGGGGCACGTTGACAGGAGATGTGAGAGAGAGTGCTACTGATGAACTTGTGGCTGTTCTCTTGACAAACGTACAGAAATAAGTTACAGTGAGCCAGTTCATCATTGCTGTCTCTCAGGGGAGTATGTCCACCACTTTGGTCCAGACTGAAACATTTTTGACAACTTTTGGATGATTGCAATAAAATGTTTATTCACCCATTCATTGAAGTGTTTTGGTCATAAATTCAGTTTAATAAAAGAAATTCAATAAAACAAGAAAGAATCTCCAAGTAGGGTGAAAAGAATCTTGACACCAAACTGGGTAAAGCTGCACTCGTATGAAGAATAGAGCATGAGGTTGACGTGTAACTGAGTGAAATGTCTACGCAGCTATTGGATGGAAATGTAGTAAAATGTTCATTTAGCACCCTCATCAGGTCAACTGTTAATTAGTTTGATACTCTATGATGAAACACCCTCAGAACTAATGACGTCCCCATAATTAGCACATGTTAGCATGCCAAGATGACATCGTCATTGCAGGCATGTTAGCAAGCAGCATGCCTGAGTCGCCTCACAGAGCCACTACTGAGACTCTTAGTTTTGCTTATTTTCCTCTGAAACACCAATATACACGTGGCTCTATTTTCTGTTGACCTGATGAGCTCACTATCACACAATCCTTCCATGTATTTCTGCACTTGGAGCATCAAATGTAAACGTACCCCTGGTTGTGAATCAGCCCAAAGCTGTGTGTGTGTGTGTGTGTGTGTGTGTGTGTGTGTGTGTGTGTGTGT